AAAAATAACTAACTATTTTAATTTATTAATTTTTTAGCTTTTTATTTGATTTATTTTACTTTTTTTATTCTGCTTGTGTTTTTTTTTAATTTATTTCTTTGTCTGTTTTATAATTTTACTCATATTTTCATTTCCAACGTTTGCTTTTATTAATTAATTTCTTTTTATTTCATATTTTATCTTCATTTTTTCCTTCTAACTAACTAACTATATTATTTATTTAATATTTAATAAGGGGAAATTAAATTGGTGATAAAGGTGTAATAGACTTAGGTTGTAGTTTAGGAAAATGTGCTAATCTCTCAAATTTGATACTTAATCTTGAGTAAAAACAATTTATTTGGGTTGGTTTATGATGTTTTTGAATATAAAAATGAATTGAAAAAATATAACAACTCTTATAATTTATTTATTTGCTACTTTTTATTTGATTTATATTTATTTATAATATTTGTGTTATTTTTTTAATTTCTTTCTTTATTTGTTTTTTAATTTAACATATTTTTTTATTTTCAACTTTTGCTTTTATTAATTAATTAATTTCTTACTATTTCACATTTTATCTAATTTTTTTCCTTCTAACTAACTAACTATATATTATTTCTTAAATATTTAAAAAGATGGAATTAAATTAGTGCTTAAGGTGTATCAGACTTAGGTTATTGTTTAGCAAAATGTGCTAATCTCTCAAATTTGACACTTTATCTAAGGTAAAAATAGTTTATTTGTTTTGGATTGTGATATTTTTTAATATAAAAATAAATTGAAAAAAATAACTAACTCTTTTAATTTACTAATTTATTAGATTTTTTTTTTGGTTTACTTTTATTTTTTATTAGGCTTGTGCTTTTTTTAATTTGTTTGTTTGTTTGTTTGTTTTTTAATTTAACCCATTTTTTAATTTTCAACTTTTGCTGTTATTAATAAATTTATTTCTTATTATTTCTAATTTTACCTTTTTTCCTTCTAACTAACTAAGTAACCAATTAAATATAATTTATATCATAAATATTTAAAAAGGGATTATTAAATTGGTAACAAATAAGCTTTAAACTTAGGTTTTAGTTTAGGAAAGTGCGCTAATCTCTCAAATTTGAAACTTGGTTTAAGGTTAAAGCAGTTTATTTGTTTTGGATTGATATATTATTGGATATAAAAATAAATTGAAATAAAATAACTAACTCTTTTAATTTATTAATTTATTAGCTTCTTATTTGATAAATTTTACTATTTTTTATTGTGATAGTGTTTTTTTTAATTTCTTTGTTTGTTTATTTATTAATTTAATCATTTCAAATTTTGCTTTTATTATTAATTTATTTCTTCTTGTTTCACATTTTATCTTCATTTTTTCCTTCTAATTAACTAACTGATTAACATATATTTTTTTCTAAAATATTTCCAAAGTGAAAATTAAATTGGCGATAAAGGTGCTTCAGACTTAGGTTCTGGCTTAGAAAAGTGCACTAATCTCTCAAATTTGACACTTAATCTTTGGTAAAAACTGTTTATTTGTTTTTGATTGTGATATTTTTGAATATAAAAATAAATTAAAAAAAAATAGCAAACTCTTCTAATTTTTAAATTTATTAGCTCTTTATTTGAATTTTTTTTTTTATGATACTTGTATTTTTTTTAATTTCATTCTTTTTTTTTAATAATTTGACTCATTTTATCATTTTCAATATTTGCTGTTATTATTTAATATATTTCTTTTTATTTCATATTTTATCTTCATTTTTTCCTTCTAACTAATTAACCCACTATTTTTTTTCAATATTCAAAAAGTGAAAATTTAATTGGTCATAAAGGTGCATCAGACTTAGGTTCTGGCTTAGGAAAGTGTTCAAATCTCTCAAATTTGATACTTGATCTTGAGTAAAAACAGTTTTTTAATTTTGGATTGTGATATTTTTGAATATAAAAATTAATTGAAAACAATATAATTTAATTTTTTAAGTTATATATTTATTTTTTAGCTTTTTATTTTATCTTTTTTATTCTGCTTGTGTTTTTTTTATTTTCTTTCTTTTTTCATTATTTAATTTAATTCATTTTTTTATTTTCAACTTTTACTTTTTTAAATTTTTTTCCTATAATTTCAATATTTATATTCATTTTTTCCTTCTAACTAATTCACTATGTATTTATTTATTATTTCTTAATATTAAAAAAGTTATAATGAAATTGGTTCTTAAGGTGCATAAAACTTAGGCTATGGTTTAGGAATGTGTACTAATCTCTCAAATTTGACACTTAGTTTAAGGTAAAAATAGTTTACTTGTATTAGATAGTGATATTTTTGAATATAAAAATAAATTATAAAAAAAATATAACTAACTCTTTTAATTTATTTATTCATTCATTTTTTATTTGATTTATTTTCCTTTTTTTATTATTTTGTGTTTATTTATTTTTATTTTTATTTGTTTTTTTTTTTATTTTATTAATTTTTTCATTTTCAACTTTTGATTTTATTAATTAACTTATTTATTTTTTTTAAATCACATTTTATCTTCATTTTTTCCTTCTAACTAACATATTAACTATATTTTAATTCTTAAATATATAAAAGGAAAAATTAAATTGGTGAATTATTTGCAGTAAACTCAGGTTCTGGTTTAGGAAAGTGTGCTAATCTTTCAAATTTGACACTTGATCTTTAGTAAAAACAGTTTATTTGTTAAGGATTGCGATATTTTTGAGTATAAAAATGAATTAAAAAAAAAATAACTAACTAACTAGCTTTTTATTTGATTTATTTATTTTTATTATGCTTGTTTTTTTTATTTAATTTTCTTTGTTTGTTTTAACATTTACATTAATTAATTTTTTATTATTTCACATTTTATCTTCATTTTTTCCTTCTAACTAACTAACTAACTAACTAACTAACTAATTAATTATATATTATTTCTTACATATTTAAAAAGATATAATGAAATTGGTACTAAAGGTACATCTGACTTAGGTTCTGGCTTAGGAAAGTGCGTTAATCTCTCTAATTTGACACTTAATATTGAGTAAAAACAGTTTATTTTTTTAGGATGGATTATGATATTTTTGAGTATTAAAATCAATTTAAAAAAAATGACTAACTATTTTATTTATTAATCTATTCGCTTTTTATTTAATTTATTTATTTATTTATTTTTATTTTGTTTGTGTTTTTTTTACTTATTTTTTTTTGTATGTTTTTTAATTTAAATCATTTTTCATTTTCAAATTTTGCTTTTATTAATTAATTTATTTCTTATTATTTCACATTTATATTCACTAATTAATTAATTATATATTATTTCTTAAATATTTAAAAAGGAGGAATAAAATTGGTGCTTTGGGTGCATCAGACTTAGGTTCTAGTTTAGGAAAGTTAGCTAATCTCTCATATTTGAAGCTTAATTTTGAGTAAAAACACTTTATTCGTTTTTGATTTTTTTATTTTTGAATATAAAAATAAATTGAAAAAAATAACTAACTCATTTAATTTATTAATTTTTTTACTTTTTATTTGATTTATTTTTTTTATTATCCTTGTGTTTGTTTTAATTTAATTCATTTTATCATTTTCACCTTTTGTTTTTATTAATTAATTTATTTCTTATTATTTCACATTTTATCATCATTTTTTCTTCTAACTAACTAACTAACTAACTAATTATATATTATTTCTTAAATATTTAAAAGATATAATGAAATTCGTGATGAAGGTGCGTCAGGTTTATGTTTTGGTTTAGGAAAGTGTTCTAATCTCTCAAATTTAACTCTTAGACTAACGTAAAAGCAGTTTTTTATTTTGGATTGTGATATTTTTTAATAAAAATTAAATTCAAAAAAAATAATTAGCTTCTTTAATTTATTAGCTTTTTATTTGATTTATTTTTCTTTTTTTTTTATTATATTATTTTTTATTGCATTTTTAAAATTTTTTTTCTTTGTTTGTTTTTAATTTTACTCATTTTTTCATTTTCAACTTTTGCTTAAATTAATTAATTTATTTAGTTCTTATTATTTCACAATTTATCTTAATTTATTTTTTCCTTCTAACTAACTAATTAATTCTTTATTATTTCTTAAAAATTTATAAAGGAGGAATGAAATTTATGCTTAAGGTGCATAAGACTTAGGTTATGGTTTAGGAAAGTGCACTAATCTCTCTAATTTGACACTTGGTCTAAGGTAAAAACAGTTTATTTGTTTTATATTATAATATTTTTAAAAATAAAAGTGAATTGAAAAAAATAAATAAATAAATAACTTTTTATTTGATTTATTTTTCTTTTTTTATAAAGCTTTTGATCTTCATTTTTCTCTTCGAACTAACTTGTTAAATATCTATTCTTTAATATTTAAAAAGGTCCAATTAAATTGGTGATAAAGGTGCATCAGGCTTAGGTTCTGGTTTAAGAAAGTGCACTAATCTCAAAATATTGGAAGTTAATCTTAGGTAAAAACAGTTTATTTATTTTGAATTGTGATATTTTTGAATTTAAAAATGAATTGAAAAGTATATAACTAACCCTTTTTTTTATTTATTGGTTTTTATTTGATATTTATATATATATTTTTTTTATTATACTATCATATTTTTGTTTATTGATTTAAAATATAATATTTTATCCAATTTATTATTTTGTAATTTACACTAATTTATATCAAAAGTTACAACTAGATCAAGAAATTTATAGAATTGAAAAGAAAGTGCATCAAATAAAAAAGATTAATTGTCTTAAAAATGATATATTGATTAAAAAATTATTTAATTTTTTGTAATCAGATAATTTTACCTAAAATTATTATAAATATCATCATTTTTTATTAATTTAGTAAATAGTTTCTAAAAAAAACAAAAATTTAAATACTAAATTTATTTAAATTAAGTAATTGCTCTAAAATAAATACAGAGCTTTCTACAAAAACTTTCATTGCATAAATAAATAAAATTCTTTTGTCTAATTATGTCTAATTTAATTAAATAAATTTGAAGGTTTTATATCATAAATAAATATATTAGATGTATTAATAATGGAAATTAATGTTTTTTAAAGCATAAATAAAGGTTAAATAAAATTTAATGTATCAAAAAATTAGTAGTATTTTCTTATTCAATAATAATAAATAATAACAAAATTAAATTTTATTAATGATTAATAATAAAAAAAATTAAATTTAGATAAAATGTCTTAGAAATCAGATTTTATAAATATGTTATTTATTCACAATATTACTTCAACAATTATTGTTATTAAGTAATTTGTTTTTGAACATTATTTTTATATTAAATAATATTAAAATAAATATGACTGTTTAAAGTTAAAAATTAAATATTTATACAAATCTTTATATAAAAAAAAAACACAGATTTTATTTGATTTGATATATTCAGATAAAAAATATAATTATAATGCTTATTAAGTTATAGAATAAATTTTAGATATAAGTTTTACTACTTGGATTTTGGGATGGAATACTCGTAGCAGTCATATTAATAGTGTTATATGGATTTTTTTGAATATTAGGGGCTATTTGTATTTGTATTTTATTTAAATTTTACTAAGCCATCTGTTAATTATTAAATACTTAAATACCTATGTGATCAGATATTAGTATGGTAAAATGATATGCATTAGATAAAGTTAATTCCATATATTCTGGAGTCTGTTAGGTAATAAAGGTAGGAGTTTGATTTGAAGCTACTTTATCTTCAAACTAATAAACAGATTAAATTAAGTTTATGCCTTATAATGAAGCAGAGTTTTCATACAAAGCTAAACATAACTATTTTGTATTGGAATACCCAAATAAAATTGTGTAAGTAGTTCCTTTGAAGCCTGAAATGAATTAAGAGAAAGCATCTTAGTAATAGTATTAACTCGCGGACAAAATCTATAATTATTACTATTGATTGAACTAGAAAGTGACATCATAGATGAATGAATTTGCAAATTAAATTCTGAATTATGAATCAGAATATTATATTACCTATTTGATATAATCAGTTATACTAAAGGAAAAATACCACAACATGTCTTGAATATAAAGTGCCTGGATTTTTTCTTGTGAATTTTGTTAAAACTATATCAAACCTGAAGAATATATTTATATATAAACATTTGATTTACTCATGAAATTAATGCTTTTTTTCACTAAGTAAGAGTTAGTTAATTCTTGGATTAATGCTTGTTTTTGTATTTTATTAAGCACAAGCAATTATGGATTCATTCCACCTACTGAGAACAAATAAATTTGGCTATTGTAGCTGATGAGCTAGGTATAGATCGATAGATTATAGTTATTGTTAAAATAGTATATAATAGGTTCTGATACTTTGGAACTAACTATATTTTAAGCTATCTAATTATCGATTGAGTATTCTACTTAGTATTATTAAAGTTTTTTTTGGCAAAAAACATATAAGTTGAATTAGTAATTCAGGTTAAGGTAAGAAGTACTTTTCAAAGAAGCCTTATCATCTAAAACTAGGCAATTTTTAAAGTTACCTTAAATTGAAAAGAAGCTTGTAATCTATTTGTCTTCAATTTATAGACGATATTTGTAAAGGATAGTGAAATCTTAATTCAAAATTTTTGGAGAAGTTGCGCTTATTCTTTGTGATATTTTAGCATTTGGCAATAAAGACTACCATCCTGTTAGGCAAGCATTATAAAGAGAAGAATTTGAGAATAAATTCAAAACATTAGATACATCATTCGAAAAAAATTAAATATCTTAAACTTATGTTTTAAGTTATTGGATGAAATTTGATTATTAATTTAGAATACCAAATGCAGCGCTTGCATCTCTGTTAATTGACAAAGCATACTAGATCCAGTTTACTTGAAGTGTTCTTTTTCTTTGAATTGCAGATGATTTGAGAGATTTTAGATTTAGCTGCTTTTCAGTTTGCTTCTCTTGTTTTGGAGGTTTGAGAGTCAAAAGAGTAAACGAAAAGAATTTCTGATTAAATTACTCTGTTGTTAAGTCTAATTCATACTTAATGCTGGCTTGTTAAAGGATTAGCTTGAAGAATGGGATATCCAATTAACACACATTTAGGTTATTTATGACTGTTTGTTGTAAATTAAAACTAATAGAAGAATAAAGCTAGTTAGACCATTACTTGCTATTAACTCTATAGATGTAATATAGATTTTATGTTGAGGATAAAATAAAAGCCAGTTCAGTGCCAGATCTCTTAGCCACTATTAAGCCTTGGTTATCAACAGGATGACTATCGTCTATTTAAAGATACCTCATGAAAGTGGGAGTAGAGCTAGCAAAATTATTATACGAATATTATGCAATCTTAGTCAAAGGATTGTCCAAAATAGTTATCAAAAAAGTACTCTTGAATAGAGTTATTTATTAGTTAGTTCCTTCTGTTGGTATAGTTATTTACCCAAGAAAGCTAAACTGAATGTAATCATAAGCAGTGATACTCGTCTTGTTATATGCAAAAAGTATTCCATCTATACAAATCAGTTAGTTAAGTGATGTGTTCTAAATTATATCTAAGGCAGCACTTAGCTAATTGTTATTATTTTAGTATTAATACATCGTAATATAATTCTTGCAAAACGTAAAGAAAATGCCGAATGCGGGATCTGATGCAAAAGAGAAGTTATTATCATTACAGAAAATAGGATATGTTGCAAATTAAAGATGTTCGTTATTCAAATAAGGTAGATAAATCTAAGGATTTGTTTGTATAATAATAAAAGAACCTTAATTATCAACTTAATTAATTGATCTTTACTACAATATCTAACTTTTATATGTATCTACAACACCAATTTTATTATTAGAATTATTGTCGGTAGAATCAGCTCTTACATATTACAACTAAATGCCTGCTTCTAAAGGACACACAAATAAAGTTGAGAAATAACCATCAAGTTGGTAACTGTTACAGCTTGAGCTTATGGATGGTAAAATATCTTTCTGAACTTCCAAATCGATTGTTTTTATAAAGCTAACATCCTTCATTAATTAAATATATTCATCTTAAGAAGCATTTAACTAAAGATCAGCTCCTATTACTTGATCTTCGATAGGTAAAATTTGGACTTTATTATCATTAAGACTCTAAATGTTTTTGTGTGTGTAAACATAATTTGAAGTAAAAAGGACAGTGTTTTACTCAACTATATTAACTTTGATATTAACATAAACTTTTGTCTGAGAAATAGTGGTTATCACAATTTAAATAGGATTAGTTGTAGATTCTTTCAATTAAATCTTGAACGAAGGGAGGTTGACTTGCGCAACTATTGAGTTTGAGTATTTTTAATTAATATCAACCAAATCAAGGATAATTTAATTTCCTAAACTTTGAGCTGAATTAATAAGAAGTCCATCATTAGCTACTTAAGTCTAATAAACTATTTATTTTTGGACTATATCAAAAAATAATAAGTAATTATCTTAATGAAAAATCAAAAATTTTTCATTCATAAAGTTTGATTTCTAAGCTGCAATGAAAGGAATTTCAGTGTTTGACAAGGTAAACACAAAGTCGTTTAGGCTTTCGTTTGAGCTTATTGTTAATATGTTAGAGGATTTTGCTCCAAATAGTCCAATTAAAAACTAGCTTCCAATCCTGTTAAATGTGTATGACTTAGGAAGATATTGAGGTACATTTTAGAAATTCTAGAAAGATAGAGCTTCTACAAATTCATTAACCCAAAAAGCTTTTAAATAGGTTTAATCTCCTTAGTAACAATACATATAATAGAATTTTGTGCTATCTATTAGAGGAACTGATAGATCACATTTATCAGCAGGAATTTCTTTTATAAAAATTTGTTTCCAATCTTTACTAAGCTTGATGAGTTAATATTTTTGATTTATTGATTAAATCACATAAATAGACAAATCATAATTTTAGATGGAAACATGTTTACTTAGCTTCAGCCATTAAATATTTGAATATTCCATATAAGTGCCATCTGATTTGAATCCAAAAGTCTTATATTCTTCACCAATTTAGTAAGAAACAAATCCACTTTAACTGTCATAGATACTGGCAAAAATTTCAGGAATTTAATTTACTACTTCAGAGGCAACTGAGCAGATTGGGATCTAGACTAAGCATTTGCAAGTATCATCAAATTGTATTTTCTAGAAAAGTACTTCAAATTTGTATTTAGAATCAGCAGCAGCTTATGATGTAACCCCAATAATGTACTTTACTTGCTTAAAAACAAGGGTGGCTAGAACTTCTAAAGGTTTAGAATTTTAGTAAGTTTTTATTGACTAAAAAGCTTAAATTTCTTAGACTCCTTCTGAAGTACGCAAGTCAATTTAAGTAGCTGCTTCATTGATAAACTCTGATAAATTTTGCACATACAGCTCATTACTTTGCAAATTTAGCTTCTTTTCCTTGTTAATAACTTAGCACTAAAAACAAGCAGTAATAGTCAAAAGTAAAAACAGTAAATCTCTCATACTTTTAATCATTATTTATATTTTTGTATTCAATTTATGTTTTATTTAATTTTGAAGAAGCCTTTTTATAACAAATATGAATGAAGATATATAAAAAGATATAGCAAAATGTATAAAGTTAAAATATAAATTAAATTTGCTTTCTTACAAAATACAAAAAAATAGATTTTTCAGATAGGCAAGGCTAATCTTAAAAATTACTGATAAAGGAAATATTCCTCAGTCACTGATCAAAATTTTCTTACAATTTTTAAAAATTTCTAATTAATTACAAAGTGCTTCAAAATCCCAAGATAAAAGTTAAAAAATTTCTTAAGATTTCAATGTTAATTAAGAAAGAGAAAAAATTTAATTATCCTCTTTCTTAACTGACCATTCAAATTCACAATCTATGGAAAAATAGTAAAAATGCCTTTCTCATTGGACACTTTTTATAAATATACGAATGAGTCAAGGATAATCTTAAAAATTACTGATAAAGGAAATATTCCTCAGTCACTGATCAAAATTTTCTTTTAATTTTTGCTTATTATAAAATAATAAATCTTTAATATTAGTTAAATTAACTGAATTATGTGAACTCTTTTTATAAATATACCATGAATAGGCAAGGCTAATATTAAAAATTACTGATAAGGGAAATATTCTTCAGTCACTGATCAAAATTTTCTTTTAATTTTTGCTTATCATAAAATAATAAATCTTAAAAATAAATTAATTGAATTAAAAGAACTCTTTTTATAAATATACCATGAACTATTAATTATTATAACTACACCATACTCCTAATTATAATTTTTTAGTTTATACAAAGAGCAATTTTTGTTGTAGAAAATTTTAGTAAGTATTTTAAAAATGAATATTTAGATTATAATTAAGCTATAAGGCAAAAATATTTTAATTAATTAATACTAGAATATTCAGTAACATAGTTACTGATTTTTATTTAGCCCTTACATATTAATAAATTAATTTATTCTTTTAAAGAAATTGTAATTAATTAATTCTAAAAAAGTATTAAAAAAAACATACTTAATGTTTATATTTAAAATTCAAAAAATGAATTGAAAAGAGAAGATATAAAATTAAAATAATGAATATTTAGATTATAATTAAGCAAGAGAACAAAAATATTTTAGAATAATTGTTATATATTGAGTAACATAGTTAATTGCTGATTTTTATTTAACGTTTACATATTAATAAATTAATTTATTCTTTTAATAGAAATGATAATTAATTAATTAACTTTGAGAAACTAAAAAAAAATCATTCATAATCTTTACATTTAAAATTCAAAAAAATGAATTGAAAAGAGAAGATATGAGATTTAAAAAATGAATATTTAGATTATAAATTAATCAAGAGAACAAAAAATTTTAATTAATAATAGAATAATTGTTTTATATTCAGTAAAATAGTTGCTGATTTTTTATTTAACGCTTACATATTAATAAATTAATTTATTCTTTTAATAGAAATTGTAATAATTTTGAGTAAATAAAACTAAAAAAAAAAATCATCCATAATCTTTACATTTAAAATTCAAAAAAATGAATTGAAAAGAGAAGACATGAAATTTAAATAATGAATATTTAGATTATAAATTAAGAAGAGAACAAAAAATTTTAATTAATAATAGAATAATTGTTTTATATTCAGTAAAATAGTTGCTTATTTTTATTTAACGCTTACATATTAATAAATTAATTTATTCTTTTAATAGAAATTGTAATAATTCTGAGTAAGTAAAAAAAATAATAATAAATAATTTTTATATTTAAAATTCAAAAGTATGAATAGAAATATGAGAAAATATGAAAATTAAATAAATTTTAAGATTCTAATATCAAAAATCTACTCATTTGGATTATATGAAATTTATTCTTTTTTTTTGAAAAATGAGCATTCAGACATTTTTTGGAATTTGAGCTACAAAGAGCATTATAAAAAATACTTTTATTTTATTTATTTTGCACAACAAATAGCACAAGTGGCAATCGCAGATATTACCAAACATCAAATATATTTTTTTCATTTCTGAATTGACAAAAAACAAGAAAACAAATAATATTATTTTATGGAAGCCTATTTTTTTATTAATTAAATTTTAAGTAGAAACTATTCAAATTTTTGGTAATTTATTTATTTTTGCTTTAGCAATTTCAATGTTTTGTTTGCAAATTTGATGTTTTGGCTAATATTTTTAGCATATCTGATAGAATTTTATTGCATCAACATATTTGCATTTTTAATGATAATAGTTTCCTAAATTATTGTAGAAATTAGCGTTATTTTCACTTGATTAAACATGGAGCCTAAATATTTTGATCATACTATTTATATAACCTTTATCAAGAAAAGCCATACCTAAACTATAATAAAATATTTCTTTATCTTTACTATTACTATTTAATTTTAGACCTTTCTAGTATAATTCGATTGCTTCATCAAAAAAGCCTTTATCATGGAATACTTTTCCTAGGTGAATATAACAAATTTACTTATTTGGATCTAATTTCAAACATTTTTTAAATGATCTAATAGCCTAACCTATCATTCCTTTTTAATGAAAAGTAATCCCTAATAACATTAAGGATGTAGCAGATATTGGTTTTAAAGTTAATGATTTCTAAAGTAATTAAATAGCTTCTTCTAGCATGCCTAATTTTTAATATAAGAAAGCTAAAGAATGATAGCATTTAATATTTTAAGGATTTAGATTTAAGCTTTCATTAAATAATTTAATTGCCTTATTTATCTTGCCTTATTAATATTTGATAAAAGCAATATTATAAATTAATGAATATATCTTCATACATTCTTCTATTTAATCTTCAATACCAATTTACAATTAATTATCTCCTATATTTACAATTTTAGATTTATATTATCTAAAAAGTGTTCTACATTCCTAAAAACACTTAAGCGAACTATCTAAATTGCCTTAATTTAAATATGTTAAGCCTTAATTATAGTTATCCATATATTACTCTAGAATTATTTAAAAAAATTCTATTCTTTAATGTCTTTAGATAGAAATAAGTACTTATTAAAATTTTTGCAATATCTCAGAACGCATTTAGAAGTGCTCTGAAAGACGATCAATAGCTGGATTTTTTAAAGCCAAATTTTGAAATAAAAAATCAATAAATAATTAGATTTCATTCTTTTAATTTAGTTATAATCCTTGAAAAGTAATTGCTCTCAAAGAATTTAAACAATCCAATTTTTTTATCTCTTTTGAAGAAAGATAATCATTTTTAAACTAAACTTTCTAAACTAAAAGCAAAAATATCTTCGCAAAGTTACAGTAGTCTTCTACAAGATCATGTGGTTTAGGCTCAATAGTATTTTCAGTTATATTATTATCTTTTTAGTTTAGCAGAGAAATATAATCTTGTTTTACTTTTTTAAAGTTATAGAGCTTAACATTATTATTTCTGTCAATTAATATCGTTTTCAGAGATAATTCTTCTAGTCTATATTTCTATTTATGAAGATAATCAATGGCTGATAGTGTTTAACAAGCTATGTTAAAATAAAGATCATCTGAAATTTAGATTTAAGTATTAGTAAGTTATTCTACTAATTGCTAAAGACTTTTTTCACATTTCTCCATAACTATGAAATAGTAAAAATCTATTTAAAATGAATCAATATAGCAAACTATGTTAGGATGGTTTGAATTTTTTAAGAAATCTGCTTCATTTATGGCTATTTCTAACATCTAAGAAGAAATCTAATCTGATCCATCAAAAAGAGAAATAATTCTGACAGAATATTAAGTATCTTTTATTTTATGTTGAGCTAATAATATTTTGTTCATATTATTATTTAAGTCTACTAAATTATCTAGAATCCTTAAAAACTTTTCCTTTTCTAATTAGTTTGCTAGCTACTTAAAACTAATAGGCTGATATGGAATTTACTCATTTCTATTCTAACCTTATTACTAATCCGAATATAACTTTTCTGTCAAAAAATAAAGCAGTTTGCTAATCATTCTTATTTATTTTTGCTAAGAATTTCCAATAATTTAAATTAATTAATTAATAATGTTTTTAAATAAATCTTTATTAATGATAAATTAGAAGAAAAAAAAAAACAATATACTTATAAATAAATCAAATAATTAAAACTTAAGTGAATTTTGCTTTAAATAATTTTTAGCTTTTCATTTATTTTAGTGCCAATTTATTTACTTTTTAAATTTTAAAACTAATTAATGATAAAAAAATATAAAATAAATTAAAATGATAATAGACTAATACAATACTAATAATCAAAGCAAGGATGTAAAACACACTATTCAAGACTTAAGGATTTATTTTAATAAAAAAGACTGAAACAAATCTTGTACAATTAGAAATGATCTTTATTTTACTGATTTATCTTTTGATTTTAGCTTATTTTGTAAAAATGATACTATTTTTTACTCGTATATAATTTCAGTTATAAAATTTTTAATTTGTAATAGATTTTTGCATTAAGCTTAATTATTAGAAGAGAAAATATTAACTATTTAATAACCAAGTAGTTTCCAAATTCATTTTAAAAATTATTAAAAATTGTGAAAAATTTCTAAGATTTTCTTAAGAAAATAAGAATGTTTTCACTTAAAAGAAAATCCTCCTTAAATTAAAAAATAGAAAATTCTATCTTGCCATGTAAATTGTGTACATCCTGTTGCTATCCCGTTAATAAAAATCCAGGATTTTGAAGAAAAAAAATTTTTTTAAAGCTAAAATTAAATATATTCAATTGATTTATAGTTTGTTTTTTTATAAATAAATCAAAATCTATTATAAATGTTTTCATGTTTTAAAAAAAAATATTAAAATATAAAGGCATTTAAAATTCACTAAATAATATTTCCATTCAAGCAATAGTAGAAGCAAGCATAAACTATTTTAATAATAATTTAAATTTATTGGTGTATGAAAAAACACTCTTTGAAATTAAATGTATTTCAATTCAATTTTTATCTTTTTTGAGTGTATGAAATTAATTAATTTTTGAAAGATGTTTTAATTATAATTTATCAGAATATATATTAGAGGAAAAATAAAAGCTTTTATCTAATTTGAATTTTTTTATTAAAGGGAAAAGTGCATTTTTAATTAAGTCTTTAATTGATTAGATTTTCAAAAAGTATTTTATTGAGCTAACAATACTTCCTCAAAATCAATTCCTCTTAACCCAAAATATTTGTATGTCTGTGTATTTTTTCTATTAAAAGCAATCGGAAAAATAAAAGCTTTTATCTAATTTGAATTTTTTTATTAAAGGGAAAAATGCATTTTTAATTAAGTCTTTAATTGATTAGATTTTCAAAAAGTATTTTATTGAGCTAACAATACTTCCTCAAAATCAATTCCTCTTAACCCAAAATATTTGTATGTCTGTGTATTTTTTCTATTAAAAGCAATCGCTTTACATTTATTCTAATTATTCTTACTCATTGACCTTAAAGAAACTAATCCATACAAAAGTAAACTTATTTTAATAACTATTTCATTCATAATATTTAAGTAAATATTTTTGATATTTTTTGTGTGTTAGATTTTAAATATGTTTACAAAAGATAAATATTTTTTAGCAGAGCTACACTTAAGATGTCTCATAGATATTTAAATATATATACTTTACTTTAAATTGAAATATGTAGTGAGTGTAATTTTCAAAATTTAAAATGCTTCAATTATCATTTGTTTTTAATTTCATTTATTATCTTCAAAGAAACACCTAATTAGTAGAATTTGAGCTTAGGCCTTTAGAAGACTTCAAGCTATAAGGATTCTTTAACAGATTATTATTTAAACTTAGATGAGAAATAAAGAGTGGAAAGAAATGGTACAAACATATTGGAATTGCTTTTATTAACTCAAATAATTTCATGGAGACATATCGATAGGATTGTCTTTCTAGAGTATAAATTAATAAATAAATAATTGATTAATTTTTTTTTAAATAGAGGATACTCATACCCAAAAAATATTATTAATTAATTAAATTATAAATAGCAAAAAAAAAGAAATTAATTAATTAAAAAAGAATATGATTGATAATTTTTCTTAAGATTCAGAAGAAAGCTTATCTAGTTTTTCTGATTTAAAAACCAATCAAAGTTCTTTTAAAAATGAATACTTGGAGGCTTGCTTGAATTTAAAACGACCTGACTATGTTCTTGAGTTTGAAAGTAATAGCTTAAAGGAAAAAAAAAAAAAAATTTTATTAGAATATAAATAATCATATTTCCAATTAAATGCCTTTGATAAAAAACAAAATATGTAGAAATAGCTTTATATTTTTAGTGACTAAGTAATAATAAAATTTTACATTCGATTATTTCAATGTTTACCCAGAAAGGATTTAATCTATCCTATTGAAGATTAATATTACTTAGACAGGAATTAAGATTTTTATGTCTTTGAGATTCAACGTCCCAAAGTAAATCAAAATAAATCAAAAATTTTAAAAATGATTTCTCTAAAACTTTCAAAATATTTTTGTGATTAGCTTATAGAGTTTGATAAGGAGGAGATAATAAGCTATTTCCAGAAAAATAAGTAATAAAGATTAAATATCTTTGATTTGACACTTAAACATAAATAAATTATCAATCAAACTTTAGAATAAATTAATTTGCGCTCTTTTGCTGAAACAGAAATTAAAACTCCTCTCAATTTTTGTTTTTCTCAATTTGAATAAGTGTAAGGAAGTAATATTAAAATAGATGAAGTAATTAGATAAAATTAAATTATTGAAATAATAACAAAGTATATTTAATATTTAAATTTATAAAAATAGGGGTTCTTGCTTATAAATAATTCTGAAGAAGAAGAAGAAGATGATGATGATGAGGAAGATGAAGAAATGTCATTTGAAGAAGAAATAGAAAATATTTTTGAATCTTCTTTGAAAAATAATAAAAAATAACAGTTAAGAGAATTGAATGAAAATATCTTTATTGCCATGAAAAAGGAAAATCTAATTACTAATATAAAAAAATATTATTCAGATTTGTTAAAGTATCATTAGGAAGATATTTTTATCCTGCTTTAGTAGCATCCAAAGTACAATAATTTTGAAGTTCAATTATACACACCTGAATACTTTTAACTTAAATGCACAAAGGATAATGACTCAAAGACATTAATTTTGAAAAAATATAATTCTTTTTAATCGATTGACGAGGAAGAATAGTTTATAAATTAGAGAGCAATTAATTCAAATAATTTGATTTTGACTGAAACAATTCCATTGGGTAGATTTTATTATCTTTTAACAGAGGTTAAATATTTTAAACCAGTAAGAGAAATCTTTTTCTATCATTCAATTGAAGAGTTAATTAAACATTCTAGGAATGATAAATAGCTCAAATTACAAGTAGTTAAGCTATTAATAGAAATTAGTTATGAATTACTAACAAAATAAAATATTAAAATAACTAATATAAATCCTTCAAAAATTCTTATTTAGGGTAACGATAAAAATATTTAAAAGTCTTAAATATTTGGTATTATTATCTAACAAATAAACTTTGATCAATTTGATTAAAAATATAAAAAATTAATCAATTGTAATTAGAGAAACACTTATTATTAGCCAAATGCTATTAAATTGAATACTCTTATTGATGAGTTCTTCACATATTTGAACTTGAATAAAAGTTAGGAAGTTGCTAGACTATATGTTGATATAATTGAGCATATAAGCTTACTTAAATTAGTTGAAGTGAATGGTGGTCTTAAAATTTATGGATATAATAAACTTCATAAAGATTTTATTGATAGGACTATAGAATTAATAAAATAACAACAAAAAGTAAGTTCTTTATCAATATAATTAAATGACTACTTTGAACTGACAAAAAATAACTTAAATTTTGATTGTAAGAATTAGTTTTTGGAATAGAATTGGAGATTATCTCCTGAGTAGTAAGAAGAATTTTTAAAGCATTATAAAATTTTTGAAAGTTATTTTGAAAAAATGGAATTGATAAAAAGCGATATTTAAAATAAAAATTAACTTTAATCGATGTTAGAATTAAAAAATATGTTAAATATTTGTTTTGATTGCAATATAATTGGCGAAGTGGATTTTTAGATAGGAATAATTCGAAATGCTTCATAGTTTTTTAATAAATTTCACAAGAAATTTAAAAAAATTGACTCAGAGTCTGATTATATATTAAGGGATGTATCCTAAATCCTTTAAGTGAAGATGAATTTAACAGACAAGAAAATTAAGATGTACTTTGCACTTGTATAATAAAAGATTTTTATACTTTCTATTTATTAGAAAGATACCTTAATTTGTTAAGAGCTTAGTAAAGAAATGTTTTCTTTGATAAATATCCAAAGATTCATTTAAAGAATTCGCTTAGATTTAGTTAATAAAAACCAGTATAGTTAAAAATTTGATTTCATACAATAATTTGATAATTTATAAAGATTAACATTAAATCTATTTTACTAAGATACAAATTATTTATTGAGATAATAAGGGAAACAAATTAATCTATTTTAATAAAATAAAAAATTATTATGTTTGGAATTAAATATTATGAACTCTATTAATATTAATGGACTATTGCTTTTAACTAAAGAAATAAGCTAAATTAAAAATATAAATACTATTATTTTTTCAACCGAACATGAGGTGGAAAAAGTAATTAAAAATAAGCTTCTTAAAATGAAAAAATTAGTAGTTTTAAACTATCAATATGAATATAGTTACAATTAAAATTAAAATATTGGTTTTTTCAACGATCACGTTGAGGTTAATTATATTATCCCTAGTTATCAAAATTACTTCCATAGTAATGTTATCGAGGATATTGAATTTATCTAGGATATTCATGATAACGAGTATAGCGAGTTAATCAATGAATGATATTTTTTCTAGATGTTGAAGTATTTTAAAATAACATAATTAAAAATTGATTTTATTTCCAAAAAAAAAATATTGAATATATTTAGGTCCTTGTAATATATATTTTATATCACTAAAATTTAAACTTTTATTTACAAATTACATAATTTATTAATTAAAATTATTTTTTTTAAATATTTTTTATTTAAAAACCTAGCCTAATTAATATCTAGCTAGAGGTTGCCATACCACTAGATTTTAAACTATAATTTAAATTTATTGGTGCATAAAAAAAACTCTTTGAAATTAAATGTATTTCAATTCAATTTTTAAATAATTGGCAATATTGCTAATTGAGTGTATGGAATTAAAGTTCATTTTGGAAAGATATTTTTTAATAATAATTTATCAGAATTTTGATTAGAGGAAAAAAAAAGCTTTTATCTGAGTTGAGTTTTACTTATAAAAGGGAAAAATGCATTTTTTAATTAAATCTTTAGTTAGTAAGATTTACAACAAGTATTTTATTGAGCTAATAATATTTCCTCAAACTAATTCCTCTTAATCCAAAATATATACATGTCTATGTAATTTTTTCTTTTAAAAGCAATCAATTTTAATTTATTCTAATTATTCTTACTCATTGACCTTAAATAAACTAAATCCTTACAAAAATAAACACATTTTAAGAAGGATTAACAATCTCATTCATAATATTTAAGTAAATATTTTTGATATTTTTTGTGTGTTAGATTTTAAATATGTTTACAAAAAATACATATTTTTTAGCTAAGCTACACTTAAGATGTCTCATAGGTATATAAATATATATACATTACTTTAAATTGAAATATGTAGTGAGTGTATTTTCAAAATTTAAAATGCTTCAATTATCGTTTATTTTTAACTTCATTTATTATCCTCAAAGAAACAGCTACGTAGTAGAATTTGAGTTTAGGCCTTTAGAAGTCATCAAGCTAAAAGGATTCTTTTACTCATTATTATTTAAACCTAGATAAGAAATAAATAGTGGAAAGAAATATATATTGGAATCGCTTTAATTAACTCAAATAATTTCATGGAGTCATATCGATGGGATTGTCTTTCTAGAATATAAATGAACCAATAAATAATTGATTAATTTTTATTTAAATAGAGCAAACTCATACTCAAAAAATATTATTAATTAATTAAATTATAAATAGCAAAAAAAAAAGAAATTAATTAATTAAAAAAGAAAATGAGTTATTTTATATCTTAAGATTCAGAAGAAAGCTTATCTAGTTTTTCTGATTTAAAAATAAATTAAATTTCTTTTAAAAATGAATATTTGGAGGCTTGCTTGAATTTAAAACAACCTGACTATGTTCTTGAGTTTGAAAGTAATTGCTTAAATGAAAATAATAAAAAAATTTTATTATTATAAAAATAATCATATTTACAATTAAATGCCTTTGATAAAAAACAAAATATGTAGAAATAGCTTTATATCTTTAGTGACTAAGTAATAATAGAATTTTACATTCGATTATTTCAATGTTTACCCAGAAAAGATTTAATCTATCCTATTGAAGATTAATATTACTTAGACAGGAATTAAAATTTTTATGTCTTTGAGATTCAGTGTCCTAAAATAGATGAAGAGAATGAAAATTTATTTGAATTTAATAAAAATAATTCAAAAATTAATTAAAGTATCTCTCAAAAACTTTCAAAATATTTTTTTGATTAGCTTATCGAGTTTGATGAGAAGGAGATAATAAATTATTTCCAGAAAAATAAGTAATAAAGATTAAATATCTTTGATTTGACACTTAGACATAAATAAATTATCAATCAAACTTTAGAATAAATTAATTTGCGCTCTTTTGCTGAAACAGAAATTAAAACGCCTCTGAATTTTTGTTTTTCTCAGTTTGAATAGGTACAAGGAAATAATATTAAAATAGATGGAACTAATAAATTAGTTAATGAAGAATCTTATTTAGAAAACCAACCTAGCAATGTATTTAGATAAAATTAAATTATTGAAATAATAACAGAGTATTTTATAATTAAAATTGATATAAATAGGAGGGCTTATGTATATAAAATTCTGAAGAAGAAGAAGATTAAGAATGTTCTTTTGAAGAAGAAATAGAATAATTAAGAGAATTGCACGAAAATATCTTTATTGCCATGAAAAAGGAAAATCTAATTACTAATATAAAAAAATATTATTCAGATTTGCTAAAGTATCATTAGGAAGATATTTTTATCCTGCTTTAGTAGCATCCAAAGTACAATAATTTTGAGGTTCAATTATATACTTCTGAATACTTTTAACTTAAATGCACAAAGGATAATAACTCAATGACATTAATTTTGAAAAAATATAATTCTTTTTAAATGATTTAAGAGGAAGAAAAATTTATAAATTAGAGAGTTATTAATACAAATAATTTGATTTTGACTGAAACAATTCCATTGGGTAGATTTTATTATCTTTTAACAGAGGTTAAATATTTTAAACCCGTAAGAGAAATCTTTTTCTATCATTCAATTGAAGAGTTAATTAAACATTCTAGGAATGATAAATAGCTCAAATTACAAGTAGTTAAGCTATTAATAGAAATAAGTTATGAATTACTAACTAAATACAATATTAAAATAACTAATATAAATCCTTCAAAAATTCTTATTTAGGGTAACGATGAAAATATTTAAAAGTTTTAAACATTTGGTATTATAATCTAACAAATTAGCTTTGAGCAATTCGATTAAAAATATGAAAATTTAATAGATTGTTATGAATTATAGAGTGTTAATAATTATTACCCAAATGCTATTAAATTGAAATTTTTTATTGATGAATTCTTCACATATTTGAACTTGAATTAAAGTTAGGAAGTTGCTAGACTATATGTTGATATAATTGAGCATATAAGCTTACTTAAATTAGTTGAAGTGAATGGTGGTCTTAAAATTTATGGATATAATAAACTTCATAAAGATTTTTTTTATAGTAATATGGAATTAATAAAATACCAACAAAAAGTAAGTTCTTTATAAATAAAATTAGAAGACTACATTAAACTAAGTGAAAATAACTTAATTTTCGATTGTAAGAATTAATTTTTGGAATAGAATTAGAGATTATCTCCTGAGTAGTAAGAAGAATTTTTAAAGCATTATAATATTTTTGAAAGTTATTTTGAAAAAATGGAATTGGTAAAAAGCGATATTTAAAATAAAAATTAACTTTAATTGATGTTAGAATTAAAAAATATGTTTAATATTTGCTTAGATTGCAATATTTTTGGTGAACTGGATTTTTAAATAGGAATAATTCAAAATACTTCATAGTTTTTTAATAAATTTGACAAGAAATTTTTAAAAATTGACTCAGAATCTGATTATATATTAAGGGATGTATCCTAAATCCTTTAAGTGAAGATGAATTTATCTGGTAAGAAAATGAAGATCTACTTTGCACTTGTATAATAGAAAATATTTTTCCTTTCTATTGATCAGAATGATACCTTAATTTATTAAGAGCATACTAAAGAAATGTTTTCTTTGATAAATATCTAAAGATTCATTAAAAGAATTCAATTAAATTTAGTTAATAAAAATCAATATCATTAAATATTTAAATTCTTACAAAAATTTGATAATTTATAAAGATTAACATTAGATCTATTAACTATAATGTAGAAAATTTATTGAGATAAGGGAAAAAAATTAATCTATTTTAATAAAATAAAAAATTATTATGTTTGGAATTAATAACTAATTATTATATGAATATTAATTAAGTATAACTTTTAACTAAATAAATAAGTTAAATTTAAAATATAAATACTATTATTATTTGTTATAGCAGGATTAAGGTGAAAAAAGTAATTAAAAATTAGCTACTTAAATTGAAAAAGTTAGTAGTTTTAAACTTCCTATCTATGGATGATGATGAAGATAACTTCATTGATGATGAAGATAGCTTGCTTGATGATTTATTTAACGTTTAATATGACTAGGATATTGATGATAACGAGGTTAGTGAAGATATCTAGGATATTGATGATAATGAGGATATTAAAGATAACGAGGATAACTAGGATATTTGAAACGAGAATAGTGAATATATCTAGGATTTTGATGATATTGGGTAGAGTGAGTTAATCAAGGATATTTTTTCTAGATATTGAAGTATTTCAAAATATCATTATTAAAAATTGATTTGATTTCCAAAAAAAATATTGAATGTATTTATGTTTTTATAATATATTTTTTATATTATTAAAATTTAAACTTTTATTTACAAATAACTTCTAGTTTAAAAGGAACAATTATTTTTTTATTTTTACTTTACTTTTCAAGAAATTACATTATTTATTTAAAATAAAGATGAGTATCGATTTTATTCTTTTGTATTTTCTTTAGTTTTTGTATCAAAAATTAGTAAGAAAGCCTAGATTTTCATCTCTAAAAAACTATGGCACTAGCTAATAGTAATTAAAATTTTTAAATAATTATTTTAAATTAAGAAATGTAAAATACTCTAAATTCTAAAAAATTAATATAATTTTAAAAGGTGATCTACTTTAAAAGAAAAACAAAAAATATAAAAACATAAATTTGGCTCAGGCATCTATGTTAAGTAGAGTTTATTTTAAATCAAATAAATTATACAATCTACCAATAATACTTTCAGATTAATTACATTTAATGTATTTTTGAATCAGCAAGATCATACAAAATGACTTTATTAACTCTGTGAATACCATTTCTGTTAGAAAAGATATTATAAATAGGATTATAAATTAATTCGACTCACTTGGAGTCTTGCCACTAGATACTGCTAAAATGGCATATTAATAAACTAGGCTTATTCCTATTTACAAAATTAGAGATACAGTTTTACCTATTGAACCCTTTTTGAATGTAAATATAACTCCAAAAAAGGCAATCTTCATCAATGAGCTGTTAATTATGGCTATTACTACCTGCTAAATTAGAATATTATAACCTTAGAATAATATTGAAATAACTAATGTGTGTATTGTTTTAATGTAAAGTAGAGTGAATCTTAATGGTCGTTTAAGAATACCATCAAAAATGTAAAAAATACTAAAAAATTAATGAAAAAGTGCTACTTTTTTAGCTTTAGGAAGTTACAAATAAACATTAATTTTTTATTTTTCATCTTCATTCTAAATTTCCTTTTTTTAGGTCTATGATTATGTTTGAGTTTAGATTTTTTCAGCACTTTTACAACTTGATTATTATTTAGTTATTTGTATTTCATTAGATTCAACCTTTTATTAGTTCATTTCAATATTTTCTTCTTAAACTTGATTCAAGTTTCCTTGAGTTTATTATGTTTATAATTTCAGTAATTTTTTAAAATTTCTCCTTCCATTTAAAAAATTACCTCTTTTTTAATCAATAGGTGATAAAATCTATTGATTTTATTAAATATCTGGTTAGATGTTATCATTACTTTTAAACTAAAGACTAAAAGGAGAGTCATGGAATACATCATTCTTTATTGTTTAAGAATTTTCACAAATATTTTAGTTATTTTCATCGACTTATTACTATAATTATTATTATTATTATTATTATTATTATTATTGCTATACCTGGTCTTATTATTCATTTTACAATTATGTATTTAGTTCTTGATTATGAATTTATGAGTATCGTTTTTATACTGTTTATTTATCTAAGAATCTACCAATTATAAATAAAAAAATTTCAATCAATGTGAATATTAATAATAGCCAAAATACTATATACATATAAAAATTCTCAAAGCTTGCTAAATTTTATAACCCTTATTCTCCAAATACTGTCTATAGATTTTTATTTTTTAAGAGCATGTCATCAATATCTTCAATGATAGTTGTTGGTTTTTAAGATGCACATAAGCACATGTAACTATTTTAACTATTCATACTGATACCACAATTTTACTTGCTCCATGAAAGATCATTTTATTAAAGACATGTCATATTATATAGCTTACTAGAATTTGCATCATTAAACTAATAAACTATGTTAGACTGATTTAAGATTTTTTAAGAAGACGAATTATAAATCTATGGTGATATTACTTCATTCTTAGAGTAAGTGAAGTTTTAACTAATATTTTTGAATTTTTATGTGTATGCCTAAAAATATGAAGTATTTTCATAAATATTTTATTTATAATTATTTCTTGTAATGCTAAATACACTAGTTTAATTTTCAGAATTCTCATTTATATTTATAACGTATTTGAATAGGTTTTTCTATGTTATTTTATCTGACAAAAGAGTTGATAAGTCACCATTTAGAGTAATTTGTCCTTAGTTTGGTAAACTAATATTGTTAAGCAGATTTCCAATCTAAGTTGATATTTTATCATATGACTAAAAATCTTCATATGAGTTATTACTATACAAACTAACGCTTGAGTTTAAAGTTTTAAAAGAATCCACCATATTTTAAATTTGGATATCGTTATTTTATTGTAAATGACTAAGATTACTATTTTGTATGCTTGAATTAGTATTTTATAGTATTGTTTATAGATAAGCAAATATTTTATTTTTCAATATTGTAACATTGTTTTAGTATGATGAGTTAAAGAATAGCTATGATAACTAAGCAGTTACCTTGTTTGCAAATGTAGACAAAAGGGAGAATTAAGGTATTTAGAGAGATAATTGTTATATCTTTTAAATCAGTAGACCTACCAAATCATTCAATTGCTATGAAAGTTAATTGTTTTTACTGATGTCTTCTGCTATAATGCTTAAAGTCACTAGTTAGCTAGTGATTTATATATTTGAGCTCTATAAAGATTATGAAGTGAGTTAATTTACAAGTTTATAATATTCGTCGACTGATTTATTCTAAGCTTGAACCTATACTATAGAAGATGAGTTATAAACTCCTAGGTAAGAATCCATGACCTGTACCATCACAACTAGATTTCCTTGAGGTAGTATAGTTTAAATTGAATTGTTTATAGTCTAATCTTATATTTATCTTCTTAATATATTCCAAGGAGAAACTAATTCTGAATTTGCATCATCTGCACTATTATAATAGAAGAACTAGTAAGTTAAAGGAAGGTCTTCATCTTAACAATTTAATAATTAAATTTAGAAGATAGTCTCTAAGGATATGCCTTATAATGGGTTTACATTTAAAACACAATTTTGAGGGGGAATATTAATTTAAATGTTAATTGTAGACAAGCTTGGTAAAACAAATAATGGATTATACACAGAAAATCTTATTTAAAGTGTTATCTTTGAAGGATCGATTTTTTAAAAATAATTCCAAATTCTGAATCTAATTTGGAAATAGTCAAATTTGATTGCGGCAACAGCATTACTATCATATATTATAGCTCCTGAATAAGACAAGTAATCTGATGAAATGTTCTCACCATAAATTATTTAAAAATTAAGATCATCATTTAAATTTATTTTTTGATTAATGGGTGTTGAACTAAATAAAACTTTTAGTGGAGGTATATCTAATTCTGTGAATATACAAGTGGTGGTGAAATTTGATTGCCTAGAATCTTTTTATCCAAAAGCAGTAAGCTAAATTGCAGTATATGGTTAAAAGGTTTTAGCAGGAAATGAAATACTACTGGCTCCTTGTTGTAATTAAATCTACTTGTCCTAGTAATCATAGCAAATATGGTCAATAGAGGATAGACTAAAACACTTCCAACTAAAATTTATATTTGAAACAGAGTTATGATCTTGTATCTCATAATCCCTTGATTCTGTATTTAAGACCATTTTATTTTGATAACCTAAAACAAGACTTGAACCCCCAATAATTTGTAAATACAAATCTGTAATTTAAACATTGACTGATATATTTTGAATGGCAGTAACCTTATTATCAGAACTCAAATTCAAAACCAGCTATTAATAAAATTTAATTATTAACAATAAATAAATAAATAAATAAATGTAATAATTAATATTTGAACAGTTAGAATTTTATTTTATTTTTATTGAATAAATTATATTTCTGTTATTGGTAAATTAATTAAAATTTTTCGAAATATTATTTTATCTATCTACACAGTTAAGGGTATTTGATAAATTAGTTTAAAAATTTTGGTAGTTTGTAAATAATTTACACTCATATTAAAGGTTTAGTTAGATGCTAAGGAGTAAGGGAGAATATCGTATTGAAAGCTTGATTAATTATATTGACTTAGACTTTACTTTTAAAGCTGGTTTGAAACTAATTGTAAATCAATAGGCTCATTAAAATAAGTTATTTGACCTAACTCACATACCTCAATGTAAAACTAAAAATAATAACTCAAGCTCATAAATCTATTAATTATTTTAAGAAAAAGTTATAAAAGTAATTAATTGATTATAAAGAAAAGTTAACCTGTAAATTGGTGGATAAAGAGATTGCAAATAGTTAATTCTTATAAATTTTTATTTTTGATAAATGATGGTGAATATTTAAGAACCAGTTTAGTTAACCTTAAGTAAATAATTAAATGATATTGTAATATTAATATTTGGAGGTATGAATTTATGATCTATAATTAAACTCGTGTTCTTGTTTTAGCTCGCTTTCAATAAGATCTGCTTTATACTTTCTTACTGATCGTTGCTTATGGAGCCTACTATTTGATTTAAAGTCCAATTTAGACTCATAAATTTTCTTCCTGCATCATTTTAAATACTATAAAGAGTTATATTTATAGAGTTACAGCTGTTTTCTATATGATTATAGCTAAATTAAAGTTAAGGAATTCCAGGGGGATCTTAGAAAGTAATGTTTCTATAAAATACATTTATGAATTGTCCACTATAATCTGTAAACTGCAACTTATTTGGCAAAATATTTATTGAATTATTTTCCATTATAGTTGATGAGTCACCTGTTTATCATATTAAATTTAAATAAAATATTTAAAAAGAAATATTTGTTTTATTATCCATAATTATTCTAAATTATTTATTTATAAAGTTGAATTGTGTTTTTATAAAATTAAGTTACTTAAATAAACGAAAATGTTATTTTTTTTGATTTCGCATTAAGATTCTAACCCAATTATGCCTAAGGTTGCTTGATCAAATATCTAAGAGCATAAAGACTAAGGTGAATTTGATATGATATTTATCAATGGAGATCCAAAATCAATAGTAAGCTTTGGGGATGTTGCACTTAATGTTGCATCAACAAGAGCAATATTTTGATAGCTGCATTAATAAAATGTATTCCTTAAATCATTTTAGTTTTTGCAAACACATATATTACTTTTAGCATCCATTTATCTTGTTTCGCTATAGCAAGTCTAACACTATTAATTTTACATCTATGAATCACATTGTTTACAGCTGGGATAACATGGATTGCATTATAGGCTCCAATAATTTTGGCATGAATCACATTTAAGCGCAGTAAGATTACCTTAAAACCCATTAGGACAAAGACTAACACAATTTTAATTGTAGAGAAAGCTGTTGGGCTTGCAACTTAAACAATTGCTTGAACTTATTCCATCACAACTTGCACAACTTTTATCACATGGTTAACATTAATTCAATTATTAATTTTGAAATTAGTTTTTATTACAGGATTATACACACTGATTTGAAGCTTACTAATAAAATAATCCTGAATTACAAGACAGGCAATTATTTTAGCCAGGACCATCACAAGTTTAACAGGTTGGATCGCAAATACATTATTTTGTGGTTTAATTATAATACTTTCCTTATTAGCATGATAAACAGTTATTCGAATTTGGTCCATTACAAGTTTTACAGGTTGGATCACAATTAATACATACTTTTGTCGCTTAATCATAATATTTTCCTGGATTACAAGATAAACAATCATTATTATTTGGACCATCACAAGTATTACAAGTCAAATCACAAATACATTATTTTGTGGTTGAATTATAATATTTTCCTTATTAGCATGATAAACAATTATTCGAATTTGGTCCATCACAAGTTTTACAGATTGGATCACAAATACATTAGTTTGTCGCTTAATTATAATACTTTCCAGGATTACATGATAAGCAATTATTTGAGCTAGAACCAGAACAACTTGCGCAGTTATTATCACATAATTGGCATTAATTCTATTAATTTGCAAATTAATTATTATTACAAGAACTTACGCACTAGTTTGTATCTTGCTAATAATAAAACCCAGAAGAACATTATAAGCATACTTAATTATAATCACATTTATCACAATTTACTTAGCACTTTTATATTATTTTAAGTAAATATTTTTAAGAGAGTATTCAATTTTAAAATTTAAAGAAAAGCTGTTAAATTTTGCATTTTATAACTTTAATTAAGGCAAGGTAGAATTTTAATTTTGGCTTAATTTATTTTTCTAAAGCCAAAATTCTATTTTTAATATAACTCGAATATTTAAATTAATTAATCAAGAAAATATTGCCTCTCTTTATTAACAAATTTAATAATTAAATTTACCAATTATACAATTAGAGACATTACTTAAATATAAGTTTTATATTATGCCTGAATGCTAATTGGTGTTAACTTAATATTTAAACTATCTACTACATTTGTGAAATTTTACATCACAACAGAAATAGTTTCAGAATATTCTTACTCTATTTAATAATAAAAATCGCCTTGTTATTCGACATTATTTATGTTAACTTTTGGATAAATTCGAGTACTTGGATTAAATTTTACAACAAAAGAAAACATAAAAAAGAATCCATATATCTATCTTTTCCTAATTTATTTATAAAATAATTTTTAAAAATATAAGAAAGAATATCTAAAGAAAATATTTTTTTCTTTTCTAAAAATAATTTTTGCTTTGCAAGTTATTTGTTTTACGGATTTTAAGGAGTATATTGTATTGTCATTTCATAATCTGAAATACAATTATCTCCTGATAAGTATTTTCGACCGTATAATTAAAAATCGACTAAATTTAAGCAATTAGTGTTTGAGGAATATTTTGTAATGTCATCTACATCCTATTGACTTGCAAACATAACATATTTCATTGGGCATTCACTAACTTCAGTTTATAAAAATGATTTAATAATAAAAAAATAATTCAAAGAAAGTTTACATTAAGGATTCAGATATACATTTATGAAAGATCCTGGTCTACAACTTTATTAACAACTACCAGAAATAAAGTATATCAAGACTGTTAAATTATTATAATAAATAAAAAAATCCTTTTTTATATAGGTTATAAATCAAAAATAATAACTTTGTAAAACAGTCAAGATGAATCTTCTAATTTTCTAAGTTTTTATTATTAATTTCATTTATTTTTAGGAGATAGATTCAGTTGAATAATTATTTGTCATTAATTAAATATTATAAGATTAATTGATCTCTTCTTCCTTTTATAAGCAAGCTAATCTAATATTAGTTACTAAGCAAATAAAAAGTAAATTAATATCTTTTGAATTTATCCTATCTCAGATCGAATTTAGCTAAATAAACCCCTCTAAAACTGTTTTTAGACGCATCAATCTTTAAAATAACCAATGTATTAAATGCAATATTTATTAGAATGGTTGGAGATTTAAAAGTTGAGGTAAATGATGACAAGCCAACCATCTGTCGAAATTTGGATTTTAAACCACTCAATACTTTCTAGAAAAAATAAAAGTATTTTTAATTTAATTAAGACTATAACAGACTAATTGAACTCAAAAAAAAGTTAAAGTTACAGTTCATATATCCAATCCTTAACCAAAAAACAAAATAGCAAATTAAGTTGATTCATTATCAAGATTATCATCTGTCATTTGATAAAGTGGGAGTTATAGATGCTTTAAACAACTAGTATACACAAAAATTTTTCTTTAATCTGATATTTAAATCAATAGTTTAAATATTATTCTTTAGAAATATTTATTTTATTATATGAACCTTTATTTTAACACTCTAATGATCATAAAAATCTATTTTCCAAACCTTTTGAAAAAATCTAAAAATTTTTATTAACCATCAAATAAATTAAAGTTCTTAATATATCAACTACAACTTCATATTTTAATCCACTCAATATTCTTTAGTATAAATAAAAGTATTTTATTTAATTTAAGACTACAAACGACTAATTCAACTCAAACAAAAGTAAAAGTTACAGCTCATATATCCAATCCTTAACCAAAATATAAAATAGCAAATTAACTTGATTCATTATCAAGATTATCGTCTGTCATTTTATAAAGTGGGAGTTATAGATGCTTTAAACAACTAATATACACAAAAATTTTTCTTTAATCTGATATTTAAATCAATAGTTTCAATATTATTTTTTAGAAATATTTATTTTATTATATGAACCTTTATTTTAACACTCTAATGATCATAAAAATCTATTTTCCAAACCTTTTGAAAAAATCTAAAAATTTTTATTAACCATCAAATAAATTAAAGTTCTTAATATATCAACTACAACTTCATATTTTAATCCACTCAATATTTTTTAGTATAAATAAAAGTATTTTATTTAATTTAAGACTACAAACGACTAATTCAACTCAAACAAAAGTAAAAGTTACAGCTCATATATCCAATCCTTAACCAAAATATAAAATAGCAAATTAAATTTATACATTATTATGATTATCAACTGTTATTTTATTTTGTATGAGTTATATATGCTTTAAACTAGTATACACAAAGCTTTTTCTTTAATCTGATATTTAAATAATAGCTTAAATAGTATTTTTTAATCGTATTTATTTTCAAATATAAATCTTTATAACTAATACTCTAATGGTCATAAAAAACTATTTTTCACACCTTTTCGAAAAATCTAAAATTTTAATAACCATCAAATTAATTATATCAGCTACAACGTCAGATAATTCATAGTATCTTTTGTTTATTTTTTGAAAAATTAATTTAGGTGAAGTATTCAGATTTTATTAAGAATAGGGAGATTATTACAGATAATAATCAATTTATCTTATTATTTCTTAAAACTCAATCTTCTTTTTAAATTTTTGAAAAGTTAAGCAATAGCTTTTTGATTATTACAGAAAATAATCAATTAATCTTACTATTTTTGAAAACTCAATCTTCCTTTTAATTTTTGAAAAATAAGTAATGAATATTAAATACAAAATTAATTAATAAATTCATTTAAATATATTATTTAAAACAAATAATTTAATCTTTACTTTATACAAAATTTAATGAATGATTGACAAAAAAGAGGTAAATAAAGTACATATCTAGAAAAAAAATAGTAAAAGGTATTTACATGTATTACCTTGAGGAAAAGTTTTATATTCAAAAATGGTGTTAAATAGTTTTAGTTATTTGTTTTTTAGTGGATTTTATATTGTTGGTCATGTTTTTCTAACTTTAACAATTGAAATAAGGATCAAATTGAACTGAGCTTATACCTAATTAAGAATTATATGTAGGTTGCATAGCAATATTCATTATTTAGACAATAAAAAAATCATCCAATTATTTAGATGAACTAGAATTTTATATTGAGCGATATTATTCATATATAAGAATATTAACCTATCTTCTAATAAGCACAGCTCATTTCTTTGAAAAGACTGATAAAATATGAATTTATTGTAATTAAAATAATTTTAAAATTATTCATAATTATGAAACTTTTGAGGGGATCCTAAATTTTTTATAGCTTTTTTACAGAAAATCTACCCATATATTGCTAACACTATCTGAAGAAATATGATGTTGTAAAACAAAATGAGTTTTTTAATATATAAAAAACAATATTTTTACACACTACATTTTGTTCGTGGATTATAGATCTTTTAAACGCAGTATAAGCTATAGTAGGTATTGAAGTTAATATATAATTTTCAATGTAGAAATAACGACAAAATTGATCGAATGTATTGAATATCAAATTTTTTAGGATTTAAAAATAAGATATACAATAAAAAATTTATTTAAAAAAAATCGTTTTATAATTTTTTGAAATAAAATTAATTAATTGAATTTAAAAATGTTATTTTATTTTGAATTTAATAAATTAATATGTTGCTTGAATTATATTTTTTCATTTTGAATAGCAAGTAAGACAAGGTAGACCTTCTATTATTCTATTTGTTTTTGTTTATTGAATTTTATAGTGAAATATCTAAGATTTTTATTACGCATTAATCAATTTAATTGCGATTAGATATATCAAATCTTTTTGATTATTAAAAATAGGAACAAATAATATACATTTTTGACAGAAAATAGACAAGTAGATACATACATACATACATACATACATACATACATACATAAATAAATAATTTAATAGTATTCAATTTTTAATTTTATGTCATTTGTAGATAAAATGCCTTCCTAATAGTAGTCTCAAACAGAAAAAGATAAAGTGATATTTAACATAGAATAGGTTTTAAAAGATTGTAAAGAGAAGAGGGAACTTTCAGAAGTAGAAAGATAGACTAAGTCTATAATAAGTTTATCAAATCAGAATATCAAAAATTTTAAGATTGTAGAAGATGATTCTGTAAAAATCCCAAACGCAAATAGAAGGTTAATAAGATACGAAAATCCAGAAAATAAATGGTTTTGTTATTACACAGATAATCTATAAGAGCTTAAAATGTCAAAATAGAATTTAGAGATGCCAGAATTAACAATTTTAGCATTGCATGGAGGAGCTTTTGACTATAAAGAGTTATTAAAACTTGAGTATGCATTTGGTGAAAAAACATGCAGATGGATAAATTTTGCATATCCTGGGTACGATGGATTTGATGATAGCAGGGGATCGTTTAAAGGGAGTGTAAGAGAGCATTGTTAATTGATTGCTGATCTGCTAGATCATTTAGAAATCGGATAAGTCATATTTTTAGGTCATTCATTTGGTGGTTATTACAGAAATTACTTTACTTTGATGTATCCTCAAAGAGTGATAGGAACTGTATCTATTGCTACTCATAGTTTTGAACATAATGTTGGATTTAGAACTTGGGTTGAGTGCATTGAAAGACCTTTGAGAGAGTATCAAGTCACTTAGCCTGAGCTCTTAAAAATGATATAGAATTAGCCTGAAAAGAAAAAAGAAGTAATAAAGATAATTCAAGACTCATTCAAGTATATAAGGAGTAATTTCGGAGTGTAATTAGCAGAATTAGAAGAAAATAAAATACTTACTTAAATAAGAATTCTTATGCAATAGGATTATCCTTTGGAATTTAAAGAAACATTTAAATTTTTGAATCCAAACATCCCTCATTTAATTACATTTGGTTTTGATGACCCTCTCATCACTCTAGATAAGCAAACTGAGACAATATATTACTTGTAAAATAACACAAGTAGAAAGCAATTTAAGCTTAAAAGAACACCAGAAGTAGAAAAAATATTGGAAGGAGTAGATTTTGATTATGAAAAAGATGTCTTTTATGATAATTTCTTGTTTATGTTTGAAAAATGTGGTCATGTACCTCATTTAAAAAGAGCAAATGAGCTAGGCTATTGCTTACGTATATTTTCCATACTAATTAATTACTTAAACACAACTAATTAACTAAATCATCTCCTCACATAATTTCCAAAGCTATGAAGAAAAATATTTTATTCAAATATTTTCTTTTTTAATATCTTTAAAATTTTATTTTATGTTCATAAAACTGAGTACATTTATAGCTTTTATTAAATTGTAAAAAATAATTGAATTTATATTTTAAAAAAATATTATTCTGGTTTTAAATATTTATAATAAATAGATCATACTTTAAATATTAAATATATAACTTAAAAATTTTTATATAGCTTTTTCCAAATTAAAATATGTTTATAGATGAAAAATGTGAATACAAACATATTGCTGTATACTCTCTATATTAAGATCCCCCTATTATAAGACCCCTTATTTTTTTGGAAAGATCTTGAATGGAATAATTCTTAATAATTTTCTAAAAATAGCCTTAATAAACTTAAGAAAATGCATAAATAAATTAATTATTTTTTAATAAATAAAATTTTGACCTTTAAAATAAATATATAAAAATAATAAATCAAATTCAGCACTTTTTGCATAAATTCCATAGTATTAAATGCTAATTATCAATCTATTTAAATTTTTTGACTTAATCTACTTTGATCAGAATTTTTATATGGGTAAATGAAAATTAATAAATAAATAATTTTTGTAATATTTACTGAGCTATTTTTTTTACTATTTTGTTTAATAAGTTATAGAAGGGTAATTTATCTTTGTTTAGTTATAATTAGATATGTTTTCACGCTATTTCTTAATTCACCCTTGAATAATAATATATATAATCATTTGATTAATTTTCCTCCACCCTTTAAATTAAATAACTAGAATAGAAAAGTAAAAAACTTTGAAAGAAAAATGTAAAACTAATTAGAAAGAATTTTAAATAATTGATTAAGATAGTTGTAAATAAATATATTTATTTCTATCTACATTTGTATTAGCTGATTAAAAAAATGTATAATGCATAATGCTAAAATACATACTATTTTTAAATAATATTTGAAATACACTTTTATTTATTTTAAATTATGTTTTATCAACAATTTTTTACAAATGTAATTTTTAAATTAATGCGTTTAATTACTTATAATTTATTGTAAATAAACGAGAGGAATATCAAACAATTTATTACTTTTCTATATTAAATTTTCTTTGTAAAGAATCACCTATTTCAAGTGCAGTTGATTGCAGCTAATTTTTAGTAATTTGAATTTAATTATTAATTCACAAAGGTTTAATTTTGAAAGGAAAGATATAAAATATGATTGCAGACGAAGAAAACAACAATAACAATAACAACAACGAAGAAAATGATAACAATATTAATAATAATAATGACAACAACAATTAGAATATGCAACCTCAAGGATAGGAATTCTATCCTGGTTCTTATTTCAGTTCTTTTTTGATTGATGGATATGCAGAGGATAAATATAAAAATACAGTAACGCAGATATGCTAAAACAAAAATTTACATCTGTTAATAGGATTATTAGAGTGTTTAGTTTGCAACTCTATTATTGTTTTTTATTATTTTACACAATTGTATGCTGCTTTTTTGGCTATGATTGCTATTTTGGGTTTGCAAATTATTTTAACATTTCTTTAGAATTTGACTTGCTATAAGCAAAACAGCAAATCGATAGCTGGAAATATGTACGCGTACTTCCTTTTGGATTTTATTCTTTCTGCTCTTTCTTTGGATGTTCTTCTTTTTATCAGGTTTTGCTTATTAGAGGCTGATAAAATTTAAAAGACTGAAAAGATCTTTTTCCTTTAGAATTTCATTTTGAAGTTTGTTAGAAGATTTATATTGAAAATATTCTTCAGCTTCGCAAGATCTGTTGTTATTATTACTTTCTTTATATTGAATACTAATTTGGAAAAAAAACTGAGTCTAAACAGTTGTTTCATGCTAGCTTATATATTCTTGAATATGATCATTTCAGCTTTCTTCTTATTTAGTTACGCAACGCTTTTTATTTTCTCTATAAAATAATCTATTATACAGCAAATAATAACTTTTTTTGAGATATTAATTGAACTGACTATGTCGTATTGTATCATCACATTCTAGATTTATAACTTTTTCTTGATATACATTACTTATATGCTATTTGCTATTTAATATTTTTCTTTTTACTGCAAGTCACCATAGACTAACTTTCTTTTTAATCCTATGAATTTATCTATATTTGGTTTGGTCTTCATGGCATTTAAGATATCTTATCTTTCTTCTCTCTATAACTGCGATCTATATTAGTATGAGATGCTCATCATAAACAAAAAAAACTAATTTAGCTATGCTTTTTATAATTTATACTTAGGAGGAATCTATACAATATTGTTTTATTTATTTTAAGGTAATTATCCTACACCAATCCCATAGTTATTATTATTCTGTGGATTTTATAGTGGAGTCTTAATGATAATTAAATTTTTCTTAATTGTAAAAATGACTAAACAATGTAAAGTTTATGACTTTAGCTCAATATAACAAGTTGAGTAATTAAATACAAAATAAGATTATAAATGCAGATTAACTTTAAATTTTAAGTTCTAACTTAAAAAAGATGATTTCATGAAATTAACAAAATACATTGACTTCAACTCCTAATTTTGTTAGATAAATTTTGAAAATTAATTTTCTATAGAATTGGTTCATAATTTTTGTAGGATGAAAATAGTTGATTTAAAATCAGAAGAAATAAGTTAATTTTTTGGATATTTCATGTCAAAATCATCATTTTTCTCTGTTTAAGCTTTACAAGTAGAACAAGATTTTAAAAATAACTATTAAGTTTGCTCTAAAATACTTTCCTGTCTCAGATAAGTCTCCATAGTAGACCAAACAAAATTTAATTTAAAAGACTCCGACTTTCTCATGATCCTTCGTAGTTAGGAATACTATAATAATCTACAACATTTCTTGAGATATTTTAATGTTGAAAAAGTTATTATGGATTTAGTAACTTTCTACAAATATATTTCTATCTATTAATACGTAAATCCATCTAACATTATCTACGATCTTTACGATATCTGATAAATTTCAAGACTTTTTTAAATATAAATTACAAATTAATTAATTCTTACTATATAAATTACATTATTATATAAAAAATATATTTGTATATTATTTAATTTCTTCAATTATTAATTATTATTTCAAAATTAAAAAATATTCAAAATTTCTAATTTATGAGGAACAACTATGTTTTTATTTTTAACTTTACTTTTCAAGAAATTACATTATTTATTGAAAATAAAGATGAGTATCGATTTTATTCTATAGTATTTTCTTTAGTTTTTACATAAAAAATTAGTAAGAAAGCCTTAGTTTTCTCCACTAAAAACAATGGCACTAGCCAGTAATATTTAAAACTTTAAAGTAATTATTTTTAAATTAAACAATATAAAATACTCTAAATTCTAAAAAATTAATATAATTTTAAAAGGTGATCTTCTTTAAAAAAAAAATAAAAAATATAAAAACATAAATTTTGCTCAAACATCTATGCTAAGTATAGTTTATTTTAAATTAAATAAATTATACAATTTAACAATAATACTTTCCGATTAATTGCATTTGATGTATTTTTGAATCACCAAGATCATGCAAAATGACTTTATTAACTCTATGAAAACCATTTCTGTTAAAAAAGATACTATAAATAGGATTATAAATTAATTCGACTCACTTGGAGTCTTACCACTTGATACTGCTAAAATTACATAGTAATAAATTAAGCTTATTCCTATTTACAAAATTAGAGATAAGGTTTTACCTATTGAACCCTTTTTAAATGTAAATATAACTCCAAAAAAGGCAACCTTCATTAACGAGCTGTTAATTATGGCTATTAGTATCTGCTAAATTAACATATTATACCCTTAGAATAATATTGAAATAACTAATGTGTGTATTGTTTTTAAGTAAAGCAGAGTGAATCTTAATGGTCGTTAAAGAATACCATCAAAAATGTAAAAAATACTAAAAAATTAATGAAAAATTGCTACCTTTTTTGCTTTAGGAAGTTACAAATAAACATTCATTTTTTAGTTTTCATCTTCATTTTAAATCTCATGTATTTAGGTTTATGAGCTTGTTTGAGTTTTGATTTTTTCGACACTTTTAGAACTTGATTACTATTTATTTATTTGTAATTAATTAGATTCAGTCTTTAATTAGTTTATTTCAATATTATATTCTTAAAATAGATTCAAGTTTTTTTGGGTTTTTTATATTTATAAGTTCAAAAATTTTTATCTTTTTCTTCTCCCATTTATATAACTATCTCTTTTTTAAGTATAAGGTTACAAAATGTATTGATTTTATTTAGTTTCTGGTTAGATATTTTCATTGCTTTTAAACTAATGAGTAAAAGGAGAGTGCTGGTATTCAATATTATTTATCATTTAAGAATTCTCATAAATATTTTAGTTATTTTCATAGACTTATTATTATTGTTGCTATCCTTGATCTTTTAATTCATTTTACAATTAGTTATTTATTTCTTGATTATGAATTTTTGAGTATCGCTTTTATACTGTTAATTTATCTAAGAATCTTCCAATGATAAATAAAAATATTTCAATCAATGTGAACATTAATAATAGCCAAAATACTATATACATATAAAAGTTCTCAAAGCTTGCTATATTTTATAGACCTTATTCTCCAAATGCTGTCTACAGATTTTTATTTTTTGAGAACATGTCCTCAATATCTTCAATTATAGTTGTTGGTTTTTAAGAATCACACAAACACATAAAACTATTTTGACTATTTTTTTTAATACCACAATTTTATTTGCTCCACGAAAGATTATTTTATTAGAGGCATGTCATATTATATAACTTACTAAAATTTGCATTATTAAACTAATAAACAATGTTAGACTGATTTAAGGTTGTTTAAGAAGATGAATTATAAATCAATGGTGATATTAATTCATTCTTAGAGTATGTAAAATTTTAACTAATATTTTTGAATTGCTATGTGTATGCCTAAAAATCTGAAGTATTTTCATAAATATTTTATTTATAATTATTTCTTGTAATACTATATACACTAGTTTAATTTTCAAAATTCTAGTCATTTATACTTATAACATATTTGAATAGGTTTTTCTATGTTACTTTTTCTGATAAAAGAGTTGACAAGTCGCCATTTAGAGTAATTTGTCCTTAGTTTGGTAAACTAATATTATTAAGCAGATTTCCAATCTAAGTTGATATTTGATCATATGACTAAATTTCATCATATGAATTATTACTATTCTTAGTAACACTTGAGTTTAAAATTTTAAAAGAATCTACCATATTTTAAATTTGGATATCGTTATTTTATTGTAAATGACTAAGATTACTATTTTGTATGCTTGAATTAGTATTTTAGAGTATTGTTTACAGTTAAGTAAATATTGTATTTTTTTATGAGGTAACATTGTTTTAGTATGACGAGCTAAATAGTAGCTATGATAACTAAGCAGTTACCTTGTTAGCAAATGTAGACAAAAGGGAGAATTTAGGTATTTAGAGAGACTATTGCTATATATTTTAAATCAATATACTTACTAAATCAATCAACTGTTATGATAGTTAATTATTTTTACTGATATCTTCTGCTATAATGCTTAAAGTAACTAATTAGTTAGTAGCTTATATATTTGCTTACGAAGTGAGTTCATTTACAAGTTTATAATATTCGTCAACTGATTTATTCTAAGCTTGAACCTATACTAAAGAAGAGGAGTTATAAACTCCTAGGTAAGAATCCATGACCTGTACCATAACAACTAGATTTCCATTAGGTAGAACTGTTTAAATTGAGTTGTTTGTTGTCTAATCTTATATTTATCTTCTTAATATATTCCATGGAGAAACTAATTCTTGATGGGCATCGTCTGCACTATTATAATAGAAGAACTAGTAAGTTAGAGGAAGATCTTCATCTGTACAACTCAACAATTAAATTTAGAAGATAGTTTGAAGAGCTATTCCCTATAAGGGATTTATATTTAAAACACAATTCTGAGGGGGAATGTTAATTTAAATGCTAATTATAGATGAGCTTGGCATAACAAATAAGGGATTATACACTGAAAATCTTATTTAAAGTGTTGGTTTTGAGGGATTTATTTTTTAAAAATAGTTCCAAATTCTGAATCTTATTTGGAAATAATCAAATTTGATTGCTGCAACTGCATCATTATCATATAAAATAGCTCCTGCATAAGAGAAGTAATCTGATGAAATATTTTCACCATAAATTATTTAAAAATTCAGATCATCGTTTAAATTAAATTTTCTGTTAATACTTGTTGCTGTTTATAAAATATTTAGTGGAGGAATATTTAATTCTGAGAATATACAAGTAGTGGTGAAATTTGATTGCCTTGAATCTTTTTATCCAACAACTGTAAGCTAAATTATAGTGTATGGTTAAAAGGTTTTAGCAGGAAATGTTATACTACTGGCTCCTTGTGGCAATTAAATCTACTTATTCTAGTAATCATAGCAAATATGATCATTAGAGGAAAAACTAGAACACTTCCAACTAAAATTGATATTTTAAAAGGAATTTTGATCTTAAATCTCATAATCCCTTGATTCTGTATTTAAGACCATTTTATTTTGATAACCTAAATTAAGACTTGAGCCTCCAATAATTTGTAAATACAAATCTGTAATTTAAATATTAACTGATACATTTTGAATGGTAGCAATCTTATTATCTGAACTCAAATTCAAAATCAGCTATTAATAAAATTGAAAATTAAAAATAAATAAATAAATAAATAAATAAATAAATAAATACATCTAATATTTGAATATAATGATGAAGTATATTTTAAACTTTTAATACTAAAATCTAATATCTTTTTGTGAATAATATGGGAGTTTTATTAAATAAATAGGAGGTGTTTTTTTTTTAATTAAATTTTTTCTTTTATAAACTAAACTTCTGTTAATGGTAAATTAATTAAATATTTTCCAAAATTTATTAAAATCTATTTACCCTGATTAAGAATATTTGATAAATTAGTAAAAATATTTAAAAATATATATATATAATTTACACTCATATTAAAAGTTTAGTTAGATGCTAAGGAGTAAGGAAGAATATCATATTAAAAGCTTGATTAATTATATTGACTTAGGCTTTACTTTTAAAGCTAATTAGAAACTAGTTGTAAATCAACAGGCTCATTAAAATGAGTTATCAGACCTAAATGGCAAGTCTCAATATAAAACTAAAAGTAGAAACTCAAGCTCATAGATCTATTTATATTTAAAAAATAATTTATATAATAATTCATTAAAAAGAAAAATTAACCTATAAATTGGTGGATACAAAGATTGCTAATAATTGACTCTTATTAATTTTTATTTTTGATAAATAATAGTAAACGTTTAAACACCAGTTTAGTTAATCTTAAGTAAATAACTAAATTATATAGTAATATTAATATTTGGAGGTATGTATTAAGGACCTATAATTAAACTAGTGTTTTTATTTTAGCTTGCTTTTAATAAGATCTGTTTTATACTTTCTTACTACTCGTTGCTTATGGAGCCTTCTATTTGATTTAAAGTCCAATTTAGACTCATAAATTTTCTTCCTGCATCATTTTAAATACTATAAAGAGTTATATTTATAGAGTTACAGCTATTTTCTATATGATTATAGCTAAATTAAAGTTAAGGAATTCCAGGGGGATCTTAGAAAGTAATGTTTGTATAAAATACATTAATGAATTAGTCACTATAATCTGTAAACTGCAACTTATTTGGCAAAAAAAAAATTGAATTATTCTCCATTATTGTTGATGAGTCGCCTGTTTTTAAAATTAAATTAAATTTTAAATAAAAAATGAAAAAATGAAAATATTGTTTTGATAAAAAAGATAAATTATTTTGTAAATTAATGAGCTTAATTCAATATTATATAAAATTATGTTACTTAAATCAACCTAAATATGATTCCCACTTATTTAGCATTAGGAATCTAACCCAATTATGTCTAGAGTTGCTTGATCAAATATCTATGAGCACAAAGACTAAGATGTATTTGATATGATATTTATCAATGGAGATCCTAAATCAATAATAAGTTTTGGGGAAGTTGCACTTAATCTTGCATCAACAACAGCAATATTTTGATAGCTGCATTAATAAAATATATTCCTTTAATCATTTTGGTTTTTACAAACACATTTTTTACTTGAAACATCTATTTATCTAGTTTCATTATAGCAAGTCTGGCATTATTAATTTTAAATCTATGATTAATCACATTGTTTACAACTGGGGTTGCAGGGATTACATTATAGGCTCCAATAATATTGGCAAGAATCACATGTGAGTGCAGTAAAATTACTTTAAAACCCATTTGGGCAAAGGCTAACACATTATTAATTATAGAGAAAGCTGTTAGGGTAACAACTTAAGCAATTGTTTGAATCCTATCCATTACAACTTGCACAACTTTTATCACATAATTGACACCACAGCTATGCATTTGGAAATTAATTTTGATTACAAGATTTTACACACTGCTTTTAAGCTTACTAATAATATAATCCTGAATTACAGGATAAACAATCATTTTAACTAGGACCGTCACAAGTTTTACAAGTTGGATCACAAAGACATTGTTTCGTCGATTAATTGTAATATAAACCAGAAAAGCATGATAAACAATTGTTTGAATTTGGACCATCACAAGTTTTACAGGTTGAATCACAAAGACATTGTTTTGTGGATTAATTATAATATAATCCATAAAAGCATGATAAACAATTACTTGAACTTGGTCCATCGCAAGTTTTACAGGTCGGATCACAATTAAAGCATTATTTTGTGGCTTAATTATAATAAGACCCTGGATTACAAGATAAACAATTATTTGAATTAGGCCCATCACAGGTTTAACAAGTAGAATTACAAATACATTATTTAGTATTTTAATTGTAGTATTTTCCAGTATAACAAGATAAACAATTATTTGAATTTGGGCCATTACAAGTTTTACATGTTGAATCACAAAGACATTATTTTGTTAGTTAATTGTAGTATATTCCAGTATTACAAGATAAACAATTATTTGAATTCGGACCATCACAGGTTTTACAAGTCGAATCACAAATACATTATTTAGTATCTTAATTATAGTATATTCCTGTATTACAAGATAAACAATTGTTTGAGTTTGGTCCATTACAAGTTTTACAGGCTGGATTACAAATAAAACACCTTTGTGTGGTTTAATCATAATATAATCCTGGATAGCATGATAAGCAATTACTTGGGCTAGAACCATAACAACTTGCACAACTATTATCACATGATTAGCATTAGTTTAATTGATTTACAAATTAGTTTTTATCACAAGATTATACACAAGAGTTAGTAGCTATATAATAATGGAACCCAAAAGAACATTATAGACATACTTAATTTACATCACATTTGTCGCAATTTATTTGACACTTTTTATATTATTTAAACAAAAGATTTATAATTGGAAATTCATATTTAAAAAATTTAGAGAAAAGTAGTTTGTAATTTAAATTTTTGCATTTAATAATTTTAATTAAGGCTAGACAGAATTGAAATTTTGGCTAAATTTATTCTACTGAAGCCTAATTTAATTAAATATTTTTTTAAATTTTAATTAATAAAGAAAATATGAAGCCTCTCTTTATTAACAAATTAAATAATTAAATTTACAAATTGTACAATTAGAATTATCCTTGAAAAATAAACTTGATATTCCTTCTAAAAAGGCATATTAAATGGCTTTATTTTAATTGTTAAATTATCCGTGTATAACTATTTTTATCCATCGTCAAAATAATTATTAGAATTATAATCATCTAATCTCGTATATCCTGAAGAGCTTAGTAAATCGACGTTATTGACTTGAACTTTCGATTATAGTTAACTGTTAGGAGAATTTGCGACAAACAAATTAAAGACAAACTGGAAACCATATATCTTTGTATTCCTAATTAATTTTTAATATATATTGAGAAAAATATAAAGATATCAAATTAAAATGTAAAAATAATTTTGAATTATTTTTTTGATTATAAAAATAAATTATAATAAAGAGAATTATTTATTAAGGAAAAAATTTATATATTGCTAAAAATAATTTTTATTTTGCGAAGAATTTGATTTACGAAATTTATGGAGTATATTTTATTGTTATTTCACTATTTGAAGTACAACTATTCCCTGATAAGTATTATTATTAATCATATGGAAAATTCATTATATTTAAGCAATTCATGTTTGAGAAATATTTATAAAGGATATCTATATCTGATTGATATGTAGGGTTGCCATAATTAATTGGGCATTAACTAACTTAAGTTTATAAAAAATGATTTAATAATAATATAATAACTCAAAGTAAGTTTACATTAAGGATTCAATTTTGAATACGAAAAATTTACACCTTGGCAATTTAAATAAGTATAACCATTTAAGTATTTTAAGGCTATTTAATTATTAAAATAGATAAATATTTTTTCCATTAATTATTAATCAAATTAGACTTTGTAAAATAAGTAATAGAAACATTTTGATTTTCTAAGTTTTCATTGTTAATTTTATTTTTTTTTATGAGCTTTAGATTAAGAATTATTTGCTTTTAATTTAATATTATAAGATAAATTGATCTCTTCTACCTTTTATAATATTAGTTATAAAAGCAAATAAAAAATAAATTAATATCTTTTGAATTTATCATACCTTAAATTAAAATTTTGCTAAATAAACCCCTCTGAAACTGTTTTTAAACTCAAAAATCTTAAAAATAGCCATTTAAGTAAATGTGATATTTATTAGAAAGGTTGGAGATTTAAAAGTTGAGGTAAATTATTATAAGCCATCTGTTAACATGTAGACTTTCATCTACCCAATATTTTCTTTTAATTATAGAGTATTCTAATTAAATTAGGAGAGTAACACACTAATTCAGCTCAAAAAAATTAAAGTTACAGTTCATATATCCAATCTTATTAAAAAAACAAAATAGAAAATTAACTTGATTCATTATTAAAATTATCATCTTTTATTTCATTAAGTGGGATTTAAGTATGCTTTAAAACTAACTAGTACACTTAAAACATTTTCTTTAATTTGCAATTTAAATCAATACTTCAAATATTAGTTTTTAAATACATTTATTTTAAATTTAAAACCTTTATATTAGCTCTCTAATGGTCATAATATAAAATACTTATTAAACTTTTTTCAAAAATCTAATAATTGTTATTTACCAAACCAACAAAGAAATTAAAGTTATTTAGATATCCTTTACATACGTCATATAATTATTAGTATTAATATGATTTTGAAAAATTAATTTAGGTGAAGTTAAGAAAAATTAGAGGATTACAGATATTATTCTATTAATCTGATTATTTTTGAAAATTCAATCCTGATTTAATTTTTGAAAAATAAAGCAGCGGCTATTATAAAACTAATGAGCGCATTCATTCATTCATTTAAATAATTTCAGTCAATTTTTAAAATATTTTATAAATAATTAATATATTATTTACTCTTTATCTTTTTAATTTTACTGCTATCATTTTTAATTTAAAGATATATTGATAAAGCTTATTGACTTTTTAAAATATCTACTTTATACAAAATCTAATGAATGATTAATAAAAATGGTGTTAAATAAAGCACGTATCTAACTATCTAATAGCAATAAGGATATTTTAAAAATTTCTTAAATCTAATTAAAAATGAAAATAAGAAGAAATATCTTTAAATTAGTAAAATTATTCTTTAAAGATAATGAGTACAATAGTAGCCTGCAAAATATCATTCTTCTTATTAATCAAGGCAATGTCAAAAATACTTCATTTTATGCTTTATTTTCCTCCCATTTGAATGATAACCATCTATTAACACGCATTACCTTGTGGAAAGATTTGAGATTTAAAAATGGCATTCAATGGTTTTAGTTATTTGTAATTGCTAGTTATGCTTTTCTAACTTTCAAGCTTGAAATTAGAATCAAATTCAACAGAGCTTATCACCATTAAGAATTATATAGAGATAATCAATTTTCATAATCCAGATAATAATAAAAATCATCCAACTATTAATAAGGTGAATATTAATATATTTGAATGTTTCTAAATTAAGTAAGGATCAAACTAAATTTTCATCTTACATTCAAAAAAATAAATAATATCCTTTCTAATCATAATTACAGCTTCAATGTTTTAGTTATTTGCAATTGCTTGTTATGCTTATCTAACTTTAAAGTTTGAAATTAGATTCAAATTGAACAGAGCTTATAACCATTTAACAATTATAGAGAGAACCAATATTCATAATTTAGACAATAAAAAAATCATCCAACTATTAATAAGGTGAATATTAATATATTTGTTTGTTTCTAAATTAAGTAGGGATCAAAATACATTTTCATCTTACATTCAAATATATAAAGCTACCCTATTCTACAATCATTACATCCGACGACATCTTTGAGGGAACCTTAAATTTTAAAATCTTTAAATAATTAACAACATTAGCTCTTTTCACCTAAATCCAAAGGATTAAGAAAATGGAAAATACGTTAATACATAATCTTCTAATTATTTAATTTTGTTATATATTATGCTTTTAATAATATTTAGACATTTTTTTGATTTTGTATTGTAAAATCTTAAAATTTTTTAATGGCTTTTATAAGACAGTAGAAATCTAGATATAGAAAATTATACATATTACAATGATCATTAATTAGTATCAAGTATATACTTTCAGAGGAATTTAATTAATTAATATGTTCATACATTTTGGTAACTGGATAACATTTTATTCGGTAGCAGCTAAATGATTATAAATAATATTTAGTTAATCTAATTGTTAGGATCCTTTATGCTTTTTTTTTTGTATAAAATATCCTATCAATTCTTAATTCAAGCAGTAGCTATTACATGACTAATAAATATATTAATTATTTGCTTCTTTTTCAACTCTTCCATTTTTTTAGTTTTCTTTTATGATTAATTCTAAAATAAAAAATATATATAAAATCTGATATTTTAAAATTATAAAATATTTTTTTTTGAAGCTAAATATCTATCTATCAATGTATTCTAATTTATCAAAATGATAAGAAAATTAATCTTCTAAATAATATAATCAAAATAAGATGGTTCAATTCAAAATCTTATGAATGCTTAAAATAAGGTTGGCTGCTAATAATCTTATAAAAATTATTAGAAATTTTTTAGCTCATTTAAATATAATCTATCTATTTTCTATATTAATTTTATTTTTAAACTTAAAAATAATTTTTCATATTCATTTAAAATAATTATTAGCAAAATTAATAAATATAATGTAAATCCTCATTTAGAATAGATAAAAGAAAATTTACAAGGAAATTTTTAGATCGCTTTAATTTTACAAATTCTGCCGATTACAATATCCAATCTGATACTTTTAAAATAAGGAACGACAATATATTAAAAATTTTTCAAAAAATTGATTTATTCCCTGTCTAACTTTTACAGAACTACCATTATAAATAATTAAAAAAATTAAGAAAAATTATTTTTAAATCATAAATGAATGAATTGTTTAAGAATAAAGCACTTTTACTTAATTAAGAAATAATTTTGAGAAAGTAGATAAACAAATATCTAATTTGCTAAATAAAATTAACAAAATTATAAATAAAATAAATTTTATTATGCTTTGAAATGAAATTAATGAATTAAATTTAAATATTTTACTTTATTTTAAACTTAAAAATAATAAATTAATACTTAGTATATTGCATGAATTATTTTTGTTCATAATGAAAAGCAAATAATACAATATAGACAGACCTTCTATTGTTCTATTTCTTTTTGTTTATTGAATTTTATAATGAAATATCTAAGATTTTTATTACGCATTAATCAATTTAATTGCGGTCTGATATATCAAATCTTTTTGATTATTAAAAATAGGAACAAAAAATATACATTTTTGACAGAAAATACATAAGTAGATAGATAATTTAATAGTATTTATTCAATTTTTAATTTTATGTCATTTGTAGATAAAATGCCTTCCTAATAGTAGTCTCAAACAGAAAAAGATAAAGTGATATTTAACATAGAATAGGTTTTAAAAGATTGTAAAGAGAAGAGGGAACTTTCAGAAGTAGAAAGATAGACTAAGTCTATAATAAGTTTATCAAATCAGAATATCAAAAATTTTAAGATTGTAGAAGATGATTCTGTAAAAATCCCAAACGCAAATAGAAGGTTAATAAGATACGAAAATCCAGAAAATAAATGGTTTTGCTATTACACAGATAATCTATAAGAGCTTAAAATGTCAAAATAGAATTTGGAGATGCCAGAATTAACAATTTTAGCATTGCATGGAGGAGCTTTTGACTATAAAGAGTTATCAAAACTTGAGTATGCATTTGGTGAAAAAACATGCAGATGGATAAATTTTGCATATCCTGGGTACGATGGATTTGATGATAACAGGGGATCATTTAAAGGGAGTGTAAGAGAGCATTGTTAATTGATTGCTGATCTGCTAGATCATTTAGAAATCGGATAAGTCATATTTTTAGGTCATTCATTTGGTGGTTATTATAGAAATTACTTTACTTTGATGTATCCTCATAGAGTGATAGGAACTGTATCTATTGCTACTCATAGTTTTGAACATAATGTTGGATTTAGAACTTGGGTTGAGTGCATTGAAAGACCTTTGAGAGAGTATCAAGTCACTGAGCCTGAGCTCTTAAAAATGATATAGAATTAGCCTGAAAAGAAACAAGAAGTAATAAAGATAATT